CCTGCCGCCCACACGGAGTACCTGGATGGTTGAATCGAAACGCGTCGCACACGTATTTTGTTGAGTTTTTTTCATGGCCGAATAAAAAATTTGATAAGCCAATGATAAGTTTTTCATCTTTCATAATACGGTTATGCACCATTTAAACTAATCGATTACGAAAAATTGTCACTGGGACTGTCAGTTCCCGAACTAGTTGGTACTTAATCTCTGTCGCGACTCCAAGAAACGAATAAGAAGCAAGTTGACAAGCTGTCACATAACATATTCATTATTTTGACATAAGTTTGAGATAACATAACCAAATAACCACGCAAGTTTCGGATGCCAATATTCGTTTGACCTAACAAACTAAGATCCAGGAGTGTAAGGATCCCTCGGACGCCCCTGTCTCTTCGGATTTATTGGCAACACATGGGAGTGTAGCCAACGTCGGTATGGTTGCGTCGACGGAGCGTATGGCTCGTACCCTGCAGGTATATGATACGCACGATTACTTATGATCGTTAGTTCATGGAGCCTACGTATTGAAACAAACTATCTTTGTTAGTACCTGTGAGGCTCCTTGGGTGCCAAGTGGGGCACCACCTAGCTAAGAGATGCCGATCTCGTTCTGCGGCCATTCGTCCCACTGGTCGTGCTGTCCGCGGAAGCCCGGGGGTTCGTCGTTGTCGTCATCGTCCTCCTCCTCGTCCTTGATTGCAGGGTCCTTCCCAGCGCTATGATGTGGTGGTGTACGCACCGCGGAAGTGGCACCTGTCATCGGTTGAGAAGAGCCGGCTGGTGTCCTCAAAGAGGCTGAAGACGTGCCACCCGACCGCGCCAGGAGTGACGGTTCCTCATAAGGAGTGTCCATACAGCTCAGCTTCTGAGCTAGCTTCCTGCAGCTCTTCTTCACCTTCTGCATAAATAGACGTTAAAGTTAGTTCATTACACAAACGCATATACACTAAAGAAATATTTTTGAAACGGACAAGTTTATGTTTACCTCCACAAAAGCCGCAAGAACGCCTGGCCCCTGTCCTCTAGACTCGTGAAGCCGGAACGCTGCTTCGTTGGACAGCCTTGACAATTGTATCGCTTGGGTACAGAAACGCGGTTGGACAGTTTTAGTACACTTACTTAAAACCAAAAGGATAACAAATTGTACCATTCAAGTATCTTACCACGTATCTTTGAAGCGGGGCTCTCTGTAGCTGTGTGTCCTCCCCAGTGGTAACGTCGTACACATCTTCGATGACATCTTCCTCCGAGTCCTCGTCAATCGCCACGTCAGTGTACGGGGGCTTGACATGTGTCCTCGTAGACATGTGAAGCCACTGCAGGTACTCGTTGAAGGTGTGCTGGTCATGTGGAGGACTCGCAAGGACTACATGTGGTACCCTGGTCTGCCACAACTGGATGTACGGGCTGTGTGTCACGCGCCAATTCTTGGTCTTGTACCTCTTCCTACGGTCAAACCTGCAACAAAACGATGTTAGTTATACCAAACACACCTCTGAATTGTAGCATTGTTATTAATCAATAACGCACCCGTGCAATTCTTGGTTGGTGGAGTAAAGCGGTGGTGGGCAGGCTGTCATTCTTCCAAACTGTCTGCAGACCCGGATAGGCAAGTGAATCTCGACCACATGGAAGAAAATAAGAGGAACGTCAGCGCAATGATACTGTGTGTGACTCGTCCCTAGTGACAGGACTCGTGTAGCCTCAAGCTCCGGAGAATCCCAAGGACACCAAAACACCAAAATTTCGTAATTGTGTTAGGTTGTGATATATCGTACATCGAAGCGGACATCGGATACGATAGTATAGAGAGCCTAACTCAGTGTCTGTGTCACGACGTCGAGACCGTCTGTACTCCCAGCATTTCTTGCGCCACGCATTCCCTCTAACTAATCGTATACATCGCCCGATATACTGAGCTGTAGGGAGTGTATCATGCCCGTTCCATCATTGCATTGAACACGATAATGAATTAGCAACAAATAATCTCATCATATCTAACTGCCTGGAAAATATAATGAACCGAAGTACTTACCGGTAAACCATTATTAAGGGGCCTCCCAACGGGCAATCGTTCCCAACACCAAACTTGAAGTAGGTACGAGCAACCCCCAAGGTTCGCATGTCACGAGCTGCTGACGACAGCAACGATAGTATCGATCACGTCCATGCCAGATCATACGCCTCAAATGTATTCCCGCTATGTTCTCCCACACCGGGCGGCGGTATGTCAACGAAGATCCAGCTGATGGTGTTGCCCGAGGCGTCTGGAAAGAGAAAAGCACCAAGAAAGTGCTAGAGCCACACTCGAGCGAACCTGTCGATCTGAGCCTCCTCAGCTTGTGGGTCCAAGTAATCAAAGCGCTCTGTGATCCAGGACGATGAAACACCGGAAGTTTCCTAGTAATTGATCAAAGAAAATGAGACCCGATGCCAGCTGTAAACAATGCAAGTATTAAATAGGCTTGAAATTACTCACTTATTTTTTTAGAATCATCGTCGTCCGGTGGAAGAAAGACAGTAATCTGAGCCACCAGCTCCCTCTAGTGATCGTTGTCAACTATCCCTGTCACTGGAAGTCCCCCCAAGCGAAGGCCTAAAATAGCCTTCACGTCCCCGCAACGTCATGGTCATCTCGCCACAAGGTAGGTGGAACGTGTGGGTCTCGTGCCTCCACCGTTATAAGAATAGAACGATCAAGTAGTTGCCTCAAATTTATTACAAGAAAGTTTACGTACAAATAATGCACTCGCACTTTTGTCTACAATGCAGTAGTAGTCTTTGAGGTCAAGGGCGGAAGACCATGGTTCACAACACGGACAAGCTCGAGGAAGCCGCACGCACGCCAGAGTATGCGCGATAACGCTCGTCCCACCGATGCGTCCTGGTGTGCGTCAGGGGCCTCAAAGGAGGCAAGGACACCTCTCAAGTCGTTGTCACTCAAGATGTGTGTTTTCAGTCTTTGGTCGTCGTACTCCACCTCAAGAATGGGGTACAACGGGTGCTGCGTGGGAGGGACCATCCTTTTTACAAATTTTGATAAACAAAGCGTTAGAGTATTCAAATTAACAAAATTCAAGTTAACATTAGTAAGTTCACAAACAAATCACAAACAAATTCACTAACCTAACTAACCTAAATCCCTAAACCCAAAATCCTAAGTATACTAGATAATAAATACATAATCAATCCATATAAAACTTTGGTTCCAAAATTACAAGTAATCCCTCCGTCTCAAAATAAATACACATCTTACTTCTCAAGTAGTCAAATATATTTAAATTTGATCAAAACTTAAAAAAAACAGTATCAATATTTGTATCTCTTAATAAGTTTATTACGAAAGTATACTCCATCCTTAATATAATAGTACCTATTATGTAATAGTACCTATTAGAAATGTACTTCCTCCGTCACATAACAATAGTCGTTCTAAGATATCGCAAAGACACTAATACTCAATAAAAATAGCCTCGATGCCCCTAGATGCTCCTAGAAAAAGAAATAAAAATAGTCTCGATGCCCTTAGATACTCAATGTAATAGTACCTTAGGAATACAAAAAATACTAACTATACTACATAATAATAAAAGTAATATGAAATCGAGACGGGTTCCTTAGGAGCGGGCGGCCTTGACGCGCCGGCGTTCGTGGCGCGGGGGGAGCGGCCGGGCGCGGCGTGGGCGAGCGGCCGAGGCCAGGCCGGGCGTCCGCGGGCGGGGCGAGGCCGGGCGTGCGCGTGCGCGGCGTGGCAGGGCGGCCGCTGGCAGGGCGCTGGCGGTGGCAGCGGCGTTTGGGCGGGCGAGCAGAGCAGGGTGCGTGCGGGCGGGCGGGCTCGCACGCGGTATATATATGGTCCCGCGCGCGCCACAGATCAGGGCGCGGCACTGCCGCGCCAAGGTCGGTGGCGCGGCAGGACCGGTCCTGCCACGTCAGCGGTCCCCCAGGCCGGCCCTCGCCACGTCAGCCCTGTGCCGCGCCACCATGCATAGCGCGGCATAGGCATTTGGCCGCGTCAGGGCAATAGGCGCGGCCAAAAGTGTTAGTTTAAAAAAAAACCGACGGTGTTAGATTTAAAATTATATTCAAAAAAGGGTTAAAATTAAAAAAAAAATTCGCCATACTCCATCCATTGTCCCCTGACTCGCTAGAGAGGCCCGAAGCCTTTGTTTGTTCTTGACCTCTTATCATCTACCACCCATCTTGTCTTGGCAATCTTCATAATGCCAGGCCTGCGCCACAATTGCCTGGTTGAACAGTGTTTTTTATAACATCGGTTGGACAGTGTTGTCATACGTGCGTCTCAAAGAATAGCTCCTGCATGAAGACCTGGAGCACAACAGCTCACTCTGCGCATCGTGCATGTAACAGGGAGCTTCCAGCAAGAGCCAAACGAGATGCTAGCGCTTGGATATTGCCGACCCGGCGACAACATATAGCTCATTCTTGGTGGTGTGGCGGTTGTTTTTAGTGACTGCTTTGACATTGTCCAACAGGATTCTTCAAACGATGGTGGAGGCAGGAAGATGCTTTGTACCTAGATTGGTTACTTTAATAGATTAGGGATGCATATTTGCAGTTTCTAGTTTGTGGCCTTGGGTGAGAATCATGTACTAGTTTAATCGCCCATGTAATTATGAGTGGTTCCACGTTGGAGCACCACTGCCCATGCAATTGAGCTGCCACATCAAATAATAGATTTGCCTGAGATTATAGGTACTTAAATAGCTTAGGGCCTAGATACGCAATTTCTTTGTTTTGATAGCTTAGAGACTGCTAGTGTAGTTACTCTTCCTTCAAAATCTAAACACGGACCAATGTGTTATATCAAACTTTTGATAAAAAAAGTACCTTCAAATTTACAGCATGCAATCTTTAATCATCGTCAGAACTCGCTAATAACAACAATTGGAAAAATAAAGGTGAACCTAATAAGAGTTACGAAAGCAAAGCTTAATTAAATCTTTTCCACACTACACATAGCACTATGATAAGTATCAGATATCATCTTCAGCAGCACTTGCAGCACTTAGATCCACGCTGAGATCAACAGTCTGAAAAAAAATGCATGAGGATTATAGCAGGAAACCAGAGAAATAGGACGAGTCGAATCACATTGGTTTAGTGTAACTAAAATGGATATAGGCTGGTCTTGACAATTGTTTTGTCCTGGAGGTTAAATGACAAAAGGTTCTCAAGAGAACAATTGTACAAATACATGTATATATATGTACCTTTCCGGTGATCTTTGTGTAAAGGGAAAGTACATCCATAACAGTGGACTCAAAGTGTGTTGTGGCATCATAACTCTGAAAAGGTAGTAAATTGAAATGGAATTAAGGATATTTGAAAATTCTACCAAAGCTGCATGTCAGAAAATGCTTACCGTTGAGATGAAACAATTGTCTGCTGATGAGTCATTGCTAGGTTCATATCTGTCATATGTGTCGATAAATAACTCATCTACTGTCCCAAGAAGATCGATCCCAGGCCTTAGTTCCTTCTCTGGATTGTCAGTTTCTGCTTGTGCTGACACGAATGCGATGAATTTGCCTTTTGATGCAACATTATGAGAGTAGGAGCAACAGAAAACGTACCTGGTATGCACACATGAACATTGCTTCGCACATTAGAAACAGAAGAAATGTGAAGGTGAAACACAACCAACTAATGGATAAATTTGGGAGATGATATAAGAAATACTTGCATGTCTGATCTGCGGCCAAGTTGCTTCTGTGGCAATATGATCTGTACTGAGTGAGATTCAGCAGTATTTGGGATGGGATGGCTCATGATAGCAATTGCCCGAAAAACTTTTCCAACTTTTTTAACCTGGCAATTTTTAACCATTAGCAGCATGTAAAATACTCAGTAATTGCATTTGTTTCTGACACCTCTGAAATTTTATAAGGTTAACTCTTTAAAGGGAAGGACTAAATGAATTTCTTGTCCTCGTACATCGTATAATCAGAAGGATTTGGTTTGCTTGTATTGAGTTTCGAAGAAAGTAATGGAATAATGAAACTTAAGTCGAGGATGTAAGAAATATCTTTACATAATAGACAGTACCATATTTATAATGAAAAAAATGGAAGGGTTTTACCTTGTCAGGTAGGTAGGAAGGATCACAGACAACCTTTTTGCATTTTGCAGTCTCCCCTTCAGACGTAACACCACAAACTTTGCCTTCACTATCAAATTCGACCTGAATGCAGTGGCTTATGTCAGATTGTAAACCGTAAAAACACTAAAATGCAGAGAACGGTGTGGTACAAAAAACAAATTATATTAGTTCCTGCAGCAAAATTTCTACTCTCTCATGTGAATGTTGCTTAACACAGGAGCATCCTAGAACAGAAGTGCTACATATCAAATAACTTCTTCATAAATACTTTTACAACCCCCCTAAGACCATGTTAGGTTGGCTATCTCTACGAGCAACTTGTTACCAGGTGGCGTCACACCCGTGAAGCAACTAGGCTGAAAAGTTAAGCTAGATTACAAAGAAGAAAATGTTCATGAAAACTTTCACAACTTATTGTGTTTATATCAAAACATTTTGTGAAATAGATGATTTCTTCTAAAGGTTCCATTTCATCAATATATCAAGTCAGAAAATATACACTTTTGTATTCAAGAAGACTTTACACTTTTTTCAACAATGCAAGAAACATTAATACTCTTTAAATTCATTAGTTTAATCATAATTTTTTTTAGTTTCAATATACTATCCTTATGCCAAACATGAAAGTATTGCCACTCCTTTCACTTATTAATTGCTGAGCCAAAGTCACTGAAGAAGTGAAGAAACAATGCAGAAAATTACTGACTATAACCCAAATTGTTTGTACCTTGCACTCTGGCTTACTCAACATGTAGGTCCCACCATAGACAGCACTAAGTCTTGCAAAACCCTGTGTTAAATAGGAGAAATTATAAATCACCTACTTATGATACCTATAAATGCTGGAAGCAGTTGAACAAAGTTATAAGTATTGACCTGTGGCAGCTCTCCTAAACCATACAAGGGATAAATATATGGTGATCCTCCTTGAAAGCGAGCCACTGATTCTGCATAAAGCTGAAATATTCTAAAATGGTGTTAGGTAATTAATGACACAAAACGGAAGTGAAGGGATAACTTAACTCCACATACATGTAAGTAATGTTAACAATAAAACAGCAACAAGGTCTTTTAGTCCAAAGAGTTGGGGTAGGCTAGAATGAAATGAGCAAAGCAACCAATAAAAGGGCACAAAAGTTTTAAAAGGCTCCGCTCAGCTACTTTTGCTACAATGAAATCACTGTAGCAAAAGCCTGCAACTGTAGCAACCTAAGCGGCAGTCAGTGCAGCCGAACACTCCCAAAGTAATTAGTAATAGTAAAAGGGTCTAGTTGGCAGCTGCCTATATAATATAATGGTTTAGGCACTTCGACTGCAATGTCTGTGTGTGCCTATCAAAGGATAACTCTGTTTTATTCAATTCTTTCAAGTATCTATTTGGTACCTCATAACTCCTCCCATGTCACATACTAGGCCTACCTGCTGTAACTATAATAATAGTAATATGTTGTTAACATAACAATATGACTTTCTTCAGAATTTTCTGGTCAAACTTTTAGCTAAGTTGAGTCTAAGGTTCAAGATAGTATTTTCATATCAGGGCACAATCAATCAAGAAGACCACTTGAAAGAAAAGGTACTAGAAATTCGGGTCAAAGCTATTTGAGCATTTCTTTGTTTCTTTTTTTCTGAAAGGGCAGCAAGAGCATTGCTGCATATATTATTAGAAGACCAAACAACAGCTCGACTCGGTGAGCTGGCACGAAACCACTACTAGAGGAGCAGCTATTAAGAAAAAAAACTGCATTCAAAGCTGTTTCTTCAATATAAAAATTTCAACACGAAACCTTAATTGTGTAGGGAAATTTTTGTTATGTCATTATAAATACTTGCCTTCATCCGCTTTACAGTGTCAATTGCAGGTTCTGTCAAGTAGCTATCATCTCTATGAAGAGCCACTGCATGCCCAATGAAGTCTATCGTGTTATCGTCCAAACCATATTTTCTGAAGAACAAATTAGAACATAGGAGTTTCAGTAAACTGAATCCTAATTGAGCACTAGAGCAGAAAATTTACTTGAAACATAGGATAGAAAACCAGAATGCTCCTAAATAAAGAATTGTTCATAGTTACAGAGCCAGTAATTGAATCGCCTTAATTCTAATGCCTCTTTACTTATGTGATCGAAGGAAGGTGTTAGTGATGATAAAAGATATATAGATAGGCAGACAGAAGTGGCCTCCTTTGCCTTTCTCAGTTGATCTGAATATTAATTATTGATGTTCATCGGTATATAGATACAATTTTCTGAATCTAAATGACAAATCATAGATGTTGGTTTGCCTACCTATAGTCCCAACTCTTAAAATGGAATATCATGTTGCAGCCTTAATGGATAACAATTGTAGCTTTAGTAACTGCATTCAAATAAACAGGTAAAACTATGGAATCTCTTCATGCTTGCTCGATCACCACAAAACTACATTTCATTTGCGCAACAGATGATCCATAATAGTATCATCAAAGGCTTGCAAACTAAACTTGGATAAAAGAAGTTACATTCCAAAAATCAAGGTTTCATGTAAATTCTTTCTACTTGAGAAAGTTGGTAACCAAGACACTAGAAATGTAACATGGAGCCACAGTAGCAAAAAGGACCAAGATCATACAGAACTCAAAATACAAATAGTATAAACAAATACTCCGTTGCATTCTAATCATGTAAAAATGTTAAAAGGCATAGAAGTGAAATGGGTACCCACGAGATGAGTTCTTTTGTCGTTAGTTTAGTAAGGTCATAACCCTTATGAGTACTTCGGTCATCTTCCTTGTAATCTTGGAGATAAAGGAAGAATTTCCCAGCTCTTCGCTTCTCAAATAATCCCATCAGTGGAGACTTGAGAGCTTCCATATCAGTAGAAGGAACCTTGTGGATCTGGAGCCCAAGAACATAGATAAACACGTGCCCAAAAGGGTAAAAATGTTGATAAAAATGGAGTGCTTATGCTTGAGGAAGGGGATTGAACCTTTCCCTTGTTGAAAACATAGCTTCCATCCACAGCTTTGAAGGACATGTACTTGGTTACACCAGTATGAATGAGGACACGGACCAAAGCACCATTTGCCATCATAAACTAGTCAAAATGGTAAAGGTATTACATGTCAGAATGTGGTTTCATACAGCAATGTGGTAAGGTATTCAACCCAATCACCACTGCTCATTGTTTTGGACGAAACAGTCTGGAGCTTTGTCATTTAATCAATACAGAAAAGAGAGTTTATGAGAACCGGAAGGGCAGGTGCCCGCCACTGCTCATTTTCCTAATACAACATTTTGTTTGACCATTCATGACGTGAATTAAGGAACTTAATTATACTGATACTTCTTTTATGTTATGTCTTCAGTGATTAATAAACTACGATCATGTGAAGCCACATTAAAGCACATCCAAGTGTAGCAAGTTTTTGTTAAATACATATATGAAAGCGCATCACACAGTCAGTTACACATGTAACTATGCTAGAAGTTCCAAGTTTACAGCCAATCTCAACAGGCATTACATGCATATGGCCATCATTGCAATTGTGTCATGGATATCTCAGTCCAATATACTATATATATAATAATAAAATAATGAAAGTAGATTTCCTGAAGAAATCTAAAAAAACAAATAAAAAGTAGTAAATTGGAAAAGACCAGACCTTTGGAACCATATCGACATTGTAGTCTCTGCTAGCTCCTATGTGCGCAGGGGGTGTTTCTTCACCCTTGAACCGTTTCCAGAGCTGCAAACAGCAGTTTAATTTACATCATAGTTTTGGACAATTCTATATATATACTTCCATTAGATCATTATAAACAGCAGGTAGAATCCAAAGAAGGCCTCATAAACAAGATAGGCAAAGTAATCCATGTGCATGGTTTATCATCAGGAATTTGGTATATATACAGGCGAGTCTCATGGATCGCCATCACCCCCACAACCTCAGAGAAATGTGGGTCGAGGCATTATTCCAAAATATCGTCAACAGACATCTCAGCCTTGCATTAATGGTCACCTGATTGAGATTGAGCGATGTGGAGTCTCCACCGTAGTAGTCATTCCTGTCCATGTGCAACACCTGATGACAATGACATGCAGAATTGCAAAATAAAATGAATGCGTTTCGTCAGGACACCGTGATAATGGGCGTAAATACTGTCAGGTGAGTCACATGTATGTTTACCAGATCAATCAATATTAAGATGATGACCGAACTGTTTATGAGTAAGAATAAGAAAGATACGTCCTGTTCGCTTGGACGATAAGCCATGGCTGAAAGTACCGTTGGCTGACTTGTTACGAGAAAAATACTATTCGTTGGCTGAAAAAGTACAACCCAAGAACGGGGCAATACTTTTAACTTGCGGCGTTATTGATCTTGTCCCGGTAAATTGGTGACGGAGGGGCGACCTTAAATGATTCGGTGTCACCTCACCCGCTTGTTTTTATTTACTCCTTTGTAAGATAATTTGCATTTGAATAAAGTGCGCGATCCTGGCCGATTTTAAAAAATCATACGGAAGGTGAAGTGGCGACGACGGAGAGAGAATTAAAGGGGGAGGAGGGAATCGATGGAGGCCGTCGTCGTGGTAGCGTGCGTACGCGTACCTTGAGGCGGTCGACGGAGAGGAGGCCGCTGAGGATGCACTCCTTGAGCCCCGTGCCCAGCACGATCACGTCGTACTCCACGTCCATGGCGCGCGCGTGGGGCGTCGCCCTGTCGAGAGATCGAGAAACGATGGAGGGAGGGGCGGGAAGAGGGAGTCCGCACCACGGATCGAGTGGGAGGAGGAGGGAGGAAAAGGAAAGCAAACCGACGGGCACTCCGCGTCGCGGCTATTCGTCGTCTATGCTACGCTAGCGCAAGAAAAATCGCAAACCGCTCGACTTGGTCGCACGCGGCACGCGCTGCCTTCCTTGGCATCGAAGCCAATTTTTTATTATCATATATCATCACTCACTTTTCCGTTGTACAGATTCGTGTGTTTTATATTTATCCATTTATAAAAGTTTGGGCACTAGCTTAAAACAAAAACCGTATTTACATCTTTATAATTTTAGCTAATAAATTGGCTGAAATTTGTTGAAGATGTCATGATATATATGGCCTCGTTCGACTTACCCTATATTTGACTTGTTCGACTTTTTTTTTCAATCGAAACAGTATTTTTTTCTCACGACAATTCAGCCGGACAGTGTTTTTCAACCAGTTTCTGCCAAAATTCAGCAAGCCGAACGGACGATAATTTCAGCTATTCGATGAAGCAAATGAATAGGAATCCGTGAACACAAACACAACTACACAAGCAATGTCCTTTTTTTTTGCGCTGTTGTTTCTCTCCATTTGTTTTTAGAAAATAGGTCCATAGCAAGAGCTACCAATTTCAAGCATCCCAAACCAATGCATGCTGCATCAACTCCGGCCCAAAAACCACACCCAATAAATTTTCTTGAACATAGCTTGCATAAAACATGCATGCAAATTGTTTTCACAGTTTCACTCTGATAGCACCAAATTGTCCAAAAAAAGAGCAGCCACACTTACAACGATATATGTCTCTTCTATCCTCATTTCTTCTTATGTTAGTAAGCCAATTACCGCTAGCATATGAGATGTCAATCTTGGTGGTGATAACTCAGTAAAAAAAATATCTATGCAATATCTGGTCGGAGCACCATCTTTTACTTTAAAAGCCGTGTAACATAAAATTTGCCCCCCTGAACTTTAATAAATATTTCCAAAACAGTGAATCACTTGGTTTAATCTGAACATGCAATAAGGCCTTTGAGCTCAAATACTTATTTCTGAGAAAGATTTGCCATATCCCTTCTTAGTGGACTAGCTTCAATAACCATTTCCTAAGAACACATTTATTCTCCATCAGGACTCAGGAGGCACGTAATATACCCTGATGAAAGGATCATGTGCCCTATGCATTGCCATATTTGGTTTTGGTGATTTAGATGACAACATACACTACTATGTATATGATTTGTAGGGGCGGTTTTGGCAGCAATCCCTACTAAACCGTTGCTACAAATCCTCCAGCCGTCCCTACAAATTGTATTTGTAAGGACGGCTCAAGATTTGTAGGGGCGGTTCATTTTCCAGAAATCACAATTCCGGACCTAAAATGGCAAAAAAATAGTAATTTTTTAGATCTAGGGAGGCCCCCACCAGAGGGTCACGGCATTTTTTGCACCCCCTCACGCAGCACTCATCTAACCACTACACCTCACACTCACTTGTACCTATAATGGATTTTCTTTCTCCACGTATTATCATCAACCGAGTTTAAATTGAGTGTTTGAGACCCTAAATGACTTCAAATCGAAAAGTTATCAACTATAAAGTTGTATAACTTTTCAAGATCTACAACTTTCGTTTTTGTTGTTTCTCCATCCGAGGTTGTTTGAAAAATTCGAATTTTAAATTTGAGAAATTCAAACGTAGTTTTTCGTGACAAGATGATTTCAAATCAAAAAGTTGTCAACTACAAAGTTGTATAACTTTTGGACATCTACAACTTTTATTTTGCTTGTTTCTCCATCTGAGATCGTTTGAAAAAAATTCAAATTTCAAATTTGAGACATTCAAACGTAGTTTTCGTTGACAAAATGATTTCGAATCAAAAAGTTATCAACTACGAAGTTCATAACTTTTCAACATCTATAGCTTTCATTTTGGTTGTTTTGCCATCCGATGTTGTTTGAAAAATTCAAATTTCAAATTTGAGAAATTCAAACGTAGTCTTCCTTGACAAAATAATTTCAAATCAAAAAGTTGTCAACTACAAAGTTGTATAACTTTTTGACATATACAACTTTCATTTTTGTCATCTTTTCATCCAACAAAGTGGTAGTAACATTATTCACAGATTTTATATCTCTCTCTTATAGTTTATGAAACTATAAGACAAAGATGTAAATTTTATGAACAATGTTACTACCACTTTATCAGATGAACAAATGACCAAAATAAAAGTTGTAGATCTTGTCAGTTCTACAACTTTTATGTTCATGACTTTTTCAGCTGAAATCATTTACCCTTTCAAAATGTTGTTTCAAGTTGTCATTTTTTGAAATTCAAATTTTGAATTCATAAAACAAAGTCACATGAAAAGATGACCAAAATAATAGCTATAATAACATAATAAATTAATAGAGCATGATTTTAGAAAATTTTAGGAAAAAAATCATCAAATTTGAATTTAGTATGAGGCAGAAAGACTAGTTACAAGTTTTAGCCAAATATTAAAAAGAGAAATGAGAGTTCTTCAACAATTTTAAGATTGAATTTCTAACAGCATTTTGAAACAGTAAATGATTTCAAATGGAAAAGTTGTAAACAAGAAAGTTCTACCTTTTGGAGATCTACAACTTTTATTTTGGTCTTTTCTCCATCTGAGGTCATTTGAAAAAAAATTAATTTTAGTACTTAATTTTTACTATTCGGCGTCTATTTGTTGGGGTGGCTCATAACACCAGCCGCCCCTACAAATGGATTTGTAGGGACGGCTCGTTTGGGAAGCATTTGTTGGGGCCCTATAAAAAAAGGAGGTTGCTATAAATCTTTTCTGTCGTAGTGATAAGCACTAGGACTAACATTGTAACTTGGTGAGCCCGAACACTTGAGATCTTGGTGACCTTCCGATGAAGGCCTTAGGTGACCTTCTTGTGTCTACCCTCTTATGAGTTTGGTGTGGAGCGGTAGCGTCTTGGTATGTGCGGGATAACGAGACCCCTTACTAGGCGGAGAAACTCTAGACAACGCCAAGGTGAAGTGGAAGAGTAAGCTTATGTGGCTTAATTATGGCACTTGCCTTAGTTACCAAGATTCTTTGTGGCTAGCCCAATACCATGACCGGGGAAGGTTTGGTGACCCGGAGTGTACCTTGGTGGATCTCTAACATGGATGGCATCCGATCCTACGTGATCAATTGCCTCGCCTCTAGGAATTTTCCATCTCCTATCTATTGTTTTTTGCTTGCAACTTTTATTGCTGTGGCTTTGCAGCTTTTATTGCTTGCATTTTTTACAAATAGGGCCCCACATTTTGATGATTGTCGGTGTTTTGTAAACCAGACTAGTAAACTTATACGATTGCCGCGCTGCTTTAGGAAGACGATGGTAGCATCCACAAGACACGAGGATTTATACTGGTTCATGCCGGAGCCCTACGTCCAGTGTTAGAGATGATCGAGTGCGTGTTCCTCACTTGAATGCTCTGAAGTTCTTACAATAGGGGTGCAAGAATGGCGGAAGAGGTTGGAGAGCTAGAGCTAGGAGATGGACTGCCTGAAGGGAAGCTCCAGGAGCCCTTCTACGGTGTAAGAATGAGTGAAATGGTAGATGATCGGATCCCCTAGATGGGTGCCATGGCTGCCCTTATATAGAGTTCGGGGCCAGGGCATATATAAAGAAGGAGGTTCTCCCGACCGAAGGGTCGTGAGCCTGGGGGAGGTCCTAGCTAACTTGGCTTGCAAGATACACCGTCTTGTGGAGCATGTCTGGGCGTGGTTGTCGTCCTGGTCTAGTGGCCACGCCGTGGCATGGTGTGACATGGTGCTACTATGCTGGCCGTGGTGGCACTATAGGCATGGTGGTGTTTCGTCAGCCATCCTATGCGACGCGGTCCATGCCGTGTTTTTTCATCATTGGCTCCTGGTTTCCTAGGGCGTCGTACAGGAGTTGGTAGCTGCCCCCAGGTCATCGTTCGCTTCGTTGGTTTGAGGAGTTGAGGGCCACGATCCCGATCACTAGGGTCATGGATCCCGTCGGGTTGGATGGCTTCTAAGTCAAGCCTCTCGTCATGGATCCCATCCCATAGTGGGTAGAATCGTACAAGCATCTTGTTGGGTCATATATGGATGGTGGGCTCTATATCGGCTGTCACCTCCTTGGGCGGTGTTGTCTTGTCCATGCTACGTGGCGCAGGGGTGGCGTCTGACCAGACCAAGGTGACCACTGTACCCTCGGTCCTTGAGGGGTTAGTGTGGCGTGCCTACTCTTGTTAGAGCGGGCAGGTTTGGCTAGGTGTGACCTCTCCCCATTCCTCCCATGGTCATGACAGTGAAGAGGTCATGAGTCTTTTGTTCGTTATGCGGCTGAGACAGAAGGAAGGGGTCGTGGCTAACCCTGGCCTTGGCATCTAGCCTGGTTCGCTTGGCTCAGCCGGGCCTCGGTCGTTCGGGCCTTTGCTAGTTGATATGTCGTGGGACACATGGCCTGCCAACTAATCGGTGTCTTAAGACGCCTCGGGTTACAACCCCGACAGTAGCCCCTGAGTGTTTTTGCGATCGCGAAGTGATCGTGAAGGCATTGAGTTGCGTGCATATTGAATGCGGGTTCGTAGTCGTGGCTTGTTCGAGCTTCATTGCTCGACCCCTTCTGGGCTGGTGGGTTCAATGTGGCAGCTGGCTATTGTGCTCGGCCTCGTTAGGACGCCCTGATGATGTGGTACATGATCGCTAAGCCCTGTTGTGTTAGTGTGCTGTGTGTTGGGGTTTGTGACCTAGGCGAGACTGAGTGGTCTCATCGATGCTGTAGCAGCCTTGCCTTTGGGAAGGTCTCGATTTCCCCGACCTCATGCGGGCATCTGACATTGGTTGTGGCCTCCGTAGATCGCCATGCGGCGTGGGGCTTCGGGCTGCTCAGTCCATCCCCGGCCTATTAATGTGGGCCTTTCTACCATT